GGGACTTCAAATCTTTTCCCTGCTGAGTCCTAAACAGGACGAAACAGCTGTCCAGTGCGCTCTTTATCGTTCATCACAAATCATTCCATCGCTTATAAGGAATGACTCATTGTTTGATTTCTTGGATCTTGGGTTTTGCAACGTGAAAATAGCGACATTCACTTCGGTGATGACTTGGTTGTATAATATTGATAGTCAATCTACTTTGAGACGGTACTTTCTCATTTTCTTTTGTTATTTCCGCCAACCTGAAGCCGGTTGACCGTTTACTCCTCGGTGGATGTGAATTCAATCATTGACATCACATCCACGTGGGTGCTCTCAATCTCTCGCCCTATCTCACGCGCACAAACCGAATTCTGTATAATTCGTTTTTTAATTTTTATCAGAGGCCGAGAAACAGGCTGAGGTGTCGGCGATCGAGTGGCGCGCGAAACTTGCCGCCCAGGAGAACGAGCGACAGATCAGTGCGATCGCGGACGCCACGCAGTTGGCTCGAGCAAAAGCCCAGGCGGATGCGGAATACTACCGAGCGATGCGGGAAGCCGAATCCAGTCGACTTCGTCTGACTCCAGAGTATTTGGAGTTGGCCAAGTTTCAGGCGTTGGCGAACAATGCCAAGATCTATTTCACCGGTAGTCAAACAAATCTGCTCACAGAATTGCTCAGCCACTTGAATTCCCAACAGTCGAATGCATCGGAAACACCGTGATTCACACCGCTAGTGTTGTGCCCATCATTTTTACCTTTTTTTTACCAAACTCCTGTCTATACCCCTGTGTCGAGCATCCCCGCTCTTTTGTAGTCTTCCTCTTATTTCCGACACCCTCCCCCCCTGAGCGTGTTATTTTCCGTTACGATACAACCTAAACCATGGGAGTGTAATTGTTTCTATCGATCGATCGATAGACACTGGAGATTGTTGCACAGATTCCCTCCAGAACAATGTCCCGTCAATTTTCGCTCTTTAGAACTATCATGAGTTGGGTCCCAGTGATTGTTGTTGTATATCCTTCTTTTCTGTGTTCCGACTGTTTATCAAACAAAACTCTTTGACCTGGAAATCATTCCATGATTGCTTGTTTCACGCTGCCTGGTTGCCCGAGCAAAAGCAGTTGGTATATCTCTTCGTGTGAGCTATAAACTCAGCGTCCTTCTACTCGCCTCCAAATTAACTAGCTGTTCCTGGCTTAACTACTTTCCACTGTTTAGTGGACACCATCGTTACGGGTAGACAGTAATCAGAACTTCCCCGGTAGATGCTTAATTGAATGCATTGCTTGGGTAACAAACGGGGCCTCACCTACCAACCAGCAAGAAGCGTGTTTTAGAACATGAACCAACAAGTGAATCTCGGCTGGCACCTCCTCCCCTTCGTTCCTGTAGAAAAAGGACGCACCAGGATTCTGTGACATGTTTTCATTCTTGGGATGCTTAGTTGAGAATTCAGAACCAGAAACACCTAAGTAAATTAACTGATCAGAAAAGTTTTTGAAAATCATGTCCCAAACCACATTTTACCATACCCTCATAGCACCATCCACCAAACTGTTTCACCCACTGACACCTTTACTTAAGCTTCTTTGGATACTGTAAAATTGACGAATTCAGGATCCACATATTTAGGAAATATTTCTTTGTGTTACAACTATGGGAATATCGTAGCAGTTCTGTCCATGTTTCCCATACAGTTTCACTTTGCTCAACCATTTACCATGCTACTATCCTGTGCCGGTTTTGGTTGCTATCTTTCGGCTTCCAAATTGGATGAACATTAGGAGAAAGACAGGAAAGGTTGAAAGTAGGATCGAAGAAAAGATTGAAAAGTTCAGAGGATTAACGATACAGAGAAATTGAGAAGGTGCACAAACGCCACTGTTTACGACGCAGCCAGACACTTAATAAACAATGCGCATCACGTTTGCTAGTCTACGGATGGAATCAATCAGCTTGTTACCGCGCTTGACGAAGCGTCTTGTTTTTGCTAAAACGCTACGCAAAGCGGGGTCCTTAGGTCTTCATTCCCATTTTTCACTTTCTGTTCTTTCATATTAGCACGATACATAGTTTGTCCAGAGATTTGAAATGCTTTTGTCACGTCATGCATCCGGTCTATGTGACTATCTACAGTTACGTAAGAAAATGCGGGAGTGGTAGTCGAACGAGGTCATGCACTTACATCACGCATCGTGTTTAATCGTCCCCAAACGTGTTGCTCACCGCGATGACTGTGGTACCGATAGCTGCACTTAATGTTCACTGTTTTCCGTACACCTGGGTGAGTTAGTGTTCTCATTCTGCCGATGTACACGTTTGGCGTTGATGTAACAACGAGAGGTTTTTTTCTCTGCATGTGAACTCAATTTATCATTCGTAATTTACAGACAACAGGCAGATGCAGAATTTCTGTCATCAAGTGGTTTCACCGGTTTGCAGATATTGTTTTGGGGCATCAGAATAGTGGCTATTCTCCACGAGAATACTGCTCCGGTGTGTTGCCCCAGTTAGCTTTGTTAAGTACTCATCTTGATGATAAACATTGTGTTGATTTTATCGTCACACCCTTCTCTTCGCGACACAATTTTATTCTAATGGCATTTCACTCGATGTATATAGAATGCATGGATGATTAGCCGAAAACCGTTACTGAGACCCACGACTATCAATGTGACGGAGAGATTTATAACTCGTAGTTGAAGCTCCTACAAATAGGTTGCATATGTAAAAGCCATTTAATGATTGCTCTCGGTTGCCCATTCTCTCAATCATCAATGGAGATAGCCGGGACGATGTACGATCCGCAGTTTCAAACGCATTTGAAGAACTTGAATCGAAGAACTATCTTCTTCATCCGTGTCGTGCCATGAGATTTCAACTTTCGCGAAGCAATTTTCGACGATTTGGATAGTTATGTAAGCCAATGATACTCCTATATGGAGGATTTTGTCGACCGGCAAACACGTATCAATAGACGATTAACGGTATCGCAAAATCGGTGAACAGTGCGGCTGTTAGTATATTGGCAATCGTCCACGGTTTGCGATATCAGCATAATTCAAATACGAATGAGAATCAACAAACGTCATGACTGTATTGTTTTTCTCGATCCTTGACGGTTTAATAATCTCGCACATTTTATTATTCTTTTGAGAAACTGCTCAGAGCACTGAACGACTGCTTCGTCTATGCTGGGTCTCCTTAGTGTTTTTCCCTGCTGAGAATCGAACAGTGATCCTTCAACTTTGAGTTCGTACCGCCTTGCACTTTCGTGCGGTGGTTTTAGTTGCCATCTTCTGACTGCCCATTTGGATGAAGGGGTAGAAAGAAGATTTTAAAGCAGGAAGCAATGTAATCACGTCCGAAATATAAAGTCTCGCTAATACTGACGTCCACATTGGAACTATAATGCACATGCCGCAATTTCCAAGAGCGCACAGGGGATGAACGAAGATTGGTCGTCTTCCGGCTCAGGTGTAAACATTTTGCCTTCCTCAACGCTAACCTTCACAAGTCAAATCCCCTTAGAGATAAAATGAATTACACTCAGCTAATGGATCTCAAATAAAACGAAAAATGAACTGGTTGGATCTCATCAACAGTTTGAATTCAGCCACTGAACTGGGGATTGAACATGGGACCTCAGCAAGTGAAAAACCCAAGACCATCCACTGGACCACCGGGCGGTTAATCAGACCATATAAAAATGTCACAGGAAATTTGATCCAAATGGCTAAGTGACGAATGAGGGTGAAACTTCAAATTTGCATCCACAAGAAGGATTGCACATCACAGAACCAGTGATGAAAGTTTTCAATTGACATCATGATAAAAATTTGAAACTGTTCTGCGCGTCCAGCATTTTCAGTCTGTCCTGGTCCCCTATTTTTTTCATATCCAGCCTTGGGGAGGGGGAGTTTTAAGCCAAGCGGGTATAGAACAATTCAATCCGAGGCCCTTCCAATATATGGACTCATTCTCATGAAACCTGGAACCAGATTACTGAAATTCAGTTCGGTGTATTCTACTCTACCTATCTTAGGCCTAATGCCTCGGTGACTCTTTCTGTTAGCAAATCCACGCTCGAATGCAGGACACCTGTTACCGTAGTTCATTGCGCCATATTATGTAAGGGTAAGATGAGAACGGTTTGATCACCTGCCCGGTGATATTATGCCTGCGTTCTATCTGAGTTACCGGGTTCAATCACCAGGTTAAAACTGACTTCTAATGGTTTATAGCTTCTCAGTTCTCGCTTCATTTGCTCCGTAAAATCCCAAAACTCATCATATGATCAAACTGAACGAAATAACTGTCCAGTGTTCTTTTTCAGTGTTCACACAAACCACCTGACAGCCAGAGGAAATAGCACTATACTATTTCTCTTTGTCAATGGTTTCCCAAATATCCGGCATTCATAGGTGAATACTAATGATGATCCAACCATACCACATCACCGATTCGTGACTTAAATTGTTCTAATGTAGTAAAGGACATATTCCACGATTCATGATGCCATATCAGGGTTTGTTTGAGCCAATGCTCTGAGTCGTTTCATACAAGCAGTAGTTGAAACAGGCGTTTCTTGACTTTCAAATATTCAGAAAATAAGGACTATTCCGAAGTTCACTTATAGTCATTGTTTTTCATGCCCGATTCAATTTTTAACCATCTCGGTTGTTGAAGTCTCCATTCATCCAGTTTTGTGGTCAATCGTGCATGCTTGGGCCAGGATGACAAATGTAATTTGTCGTAATTCGGCGGTAGAGCCAATCCTGGAGACGTTTTTCCTGACCGGAACAGTTTCCGGTCGACAAAAAACAATCAGACAGGTTTTCAAACGAGTCAAGTATATTAAAAACCAGTGATTAGTTGAACACGATAAAATATCTAAAATAACCTCGCTAACACCTATTGCGATCAATCGCGTGGAGCAGTGGTATCGATTAATCGTTCGTCGAATAGTTTCAATGCGAGTGTTCGATATATCATGTTCCTGGTTTGATGGATCAAAATTGCTTTGCATTCAGCAACTTACTACTTTAATGCGCGCTAGTACTCAGTTTAAGTATGGTTCACCGTCGTTACATATGAAGTTCTTCGAGTGGATGCGATTCTCTTTGGTACATTTCCGTCAATTAAAAACAAAATAAAACGATTGGTCGATTTCCTGTTAGGGCCACAAACTTTGTTCTGAAGGTTAATTCAATCCATGTCTGTTTCAGGCCCAGTAAATCGTACACGTCAACTCTCGTTCAACCGGAGTATTCAAGCCCGAAGGAACAACCAAATGATCAGTCTGACCTGTTTTCTTTATATATTTACCGACAATACATCCTGCTATCGTATTTTGAACTGGTTTATGGATTCTGAACGTGATTAGTGCTCTCCGCAAACAAACTAAAGTACATTGCGAAAACAATTTCGTGCAGAATACAAGAGATTGATGGAGTTTCGGGTTCAGCTGTTCGTCTCTAGGCAATTTTGGTCTAGTGACTTCCGTCGTTTCGGTAATGGGATGAAAAATATAGTCACGTCCGGGATCGATGAACTGATCGCTACGTGCAGTCATGCATAATTTGTTGCCTAAGCTCGATGGATAAAAAAGTAATTGATCAATTTCATGTGACCACAAACTTCGTTCTGAAGGTGAAAACCGGCTACCCAGTGTGCGTAAACATACAATCACACACACGGCACACAAGTAAACATCAGGTAACCCTACTGGTTAGCTTATTTCGGCCAACTTACTTCCGTGAATCTTTTCGACAAAATGTGATAGATCGAAGCAAAATTGCGTGCACATTGGGACAGTGGAAGGATGCACCCGTCAAAGTAAAACTACCTTGGCACTGAAGCATTCACTTGCGAAAACCTTATCTATTGGCTGCATAACCGCGTCACTACTTCGAAAGACTGTCGGCGTACTGAAGCATTAACTAGGTCCGTTAGAGAAACCCTGCGAAACAAAGGAGCTACAGGTCCCACCCGATCCAAAAGCTATGTGCCATGAACGACGATCAGTAAACAGATTTCGGTGATCGATTTATTGACAGGCGAAGAGTTCAGCCAACTTATAGCACAGTCAACTCTCGTCGTATTGCTGTGCGGTACTACTCACATTTGGGAGCAATGTGCAAAACAGTGCGGTTAGTGGTTTCCTTCAACGATCAAAAATTAGCAAGACTTCTGAGGGTGAATAGCTGTGCCCCAAAGAATAACTACGGACTGCCCCATTCATTACACGGTATGCTGTCGGGAATGGCGATGACATTTTTCAAATGCGATGTCTGTTATGTGTATTCCAAATTATTGATATCCCAACTGTAATCTGTAATAAACAACTATCATCGATCGGGTATCACCTTGTGAAATTATAACAGTATCACTCGAAGTTCTTTCTTCCAATGAACTATAGCAGAAAAATTGCGGTGATCATGTAACGAGTACGCACGCACCGCGGTACAGCTTCCAAGTAACCAATCAAGCAACGGAATAACCGATCAATCATGTGGTCTTAATTGGTACCAACCGGATTGGCTGAATGCAAGAAGACAAACTTGATCGTTGTCGATTGGACATTCAAGATTCGATCAATGATTGTTTGTTGCTTGTGATATATATATATATATATATATATATACGCATGATTTTATGAATGCAACTAACTGTATCCATAGCTCGTCTTGGTTCTACTTGACTGCGCTATTCGATTCCTATTCCGAATTCTACAATTGGCGTCGCGGCATGGAGTTGTGGAATATCGAACTTCTCAATCTACATTCACATCCGTCTGGGATTGAAGAATGGGTGGAACGTTTCGAGCTCTGGTGCAGCCTACGGCGGAACGGAAAGCAGGAGCAGTTCATACTACTCTTCAGGGTCAACGGAAAGGAAATGTATTCTCTAGTGAAGAATATCGGTTTCCCCGGTAATCCGGCTAAGTTACAATTCCAGGTGCTTAAACTATTACTTCTTGCCCACAGGATTCCTATTGATTTCCAAGCTACCGAGAGGGCAAAATTCAATTTGTTGGTTCGTGCCGAGTCAATGCCCTGTCGAGATTTCATCCTTTTGCTCAACAAACAGACTTCCAAGTGTAATTATGGAGACAGACTGGAGGAGCAATTGTGAACGCCTTATTGCAGGCATTAAGAATACGACTTTCCAGAGAACTGTGTTTGAGAAAAAAGATCCAACATTTTCCGATGCTCAGAGGATATGTGAGCAGCCTGATGATCCCACTACAACAACAACCCGTGAATCGTCCACATTATTCCAGAGTATATCAATAAGCAATAGACCCAGGATGCAATCCAAATGTCCTCATATTCGGAAGATCAATTACTCTGATCAGAGGACCCCAAACAAAAACAATAATCAGTGTATGTCGTGTGGCGAATTCCATTCGAACTGCAGATTCAGCGATGCAAATTGCCATTCCTGTGGTAAAGTTGGTCATATTCAAAAGGTATGCCCCCAACGGAAATGCAATACGGTGAGGAGTACACCAAACTGTCAAGAGGAATTCAACCCAATTTATACAGTACGAACAGTGGGCGAATACAAGCAGTTCATTTACAGGGATATTGCTTTGATTCCGAAGTTCGACTTAGTTTTATTGTGGATACAGGCAGTGGCGAGTACATCATTTCACATGGAGACCTCAAACAACTATGCCCAAATGCCGACCACAATATGAATTCATGGTGTGACTGGACACCTTCTTCCGCTATTAGGTGAGACAATCTTGTCGATTCATTCCCAGGATACTAATTTTGAGCCCATTCGATTATTGGTGTCACAAGACAGTCCGTCTATTCTTGAATTGATGGCGATGAGAACGTTGGAACATTCTTTATCTCTATATAACAATGAATTGAAATCCGATACAACTGAGGAAACTGGAAAGCTGATATTTCGATCTACTGAAAATGCGGGAGGAATGACCGTTCCTGAAGCAGTGTTGGAGGTCAACGGTGAGCCAGTATTCCTGAAAAGACCAGTCTTATCATATGGACAACGTGAAGGTGTGCTGAATGACATCGACCGACTGGAAAAGACTGATGTCATTTCCGGAGTGACGTCATAAACCTGGACTACTCCGATTGCTGTCGAGATGAAGTGATGGCGGAACTCCGAGGATATGTGGTGATTACCGATTGACACTCAATCCCCGATTGCGAAAATGCGCAGCGACGACCATGGAGACGGAGGACTTCCTGAAATCCCTAAACGGTTGTCAGTTTTTCTCTAAAATTGATCTGGCAGATGCCTACCTTCAAATTCCATTGCATCCAGATTCACGAGCATTTACGACGATAAATACACTGTGGGGATTGTTCCAGTACAATTTCCCCTCGTTCGGTTTGCACGTATCATCCGGAATCTTTCAGTCCACAATGGGCAATGTTGTCTGGTTTGCGCGGTGTCATGGCATATCAAGACGATGTGATTGCGTGGAACAACGAAAGAAGTACAGGATAACAATTTGAAGGAACTTCTTGAGCGATTCATGGAGAAAAATGTGTGTATCATAGCATCTAATTGCGTGTTTGATGGAGTTGGAGTTCCTGGGATTCCTCACCTGTTCTAAAGGATATCGAACGGATCCCAACCGATTAAAACCTCTAGTGAATATCGAATCTCCGAAAGATCAAAATTATCCACGATCAGTTATAGGATGTCCCTAATATTATTCATGATTTATTCCTAATTTCGCCCCCAGGGCCTAATTCTTGTTTGTAGCGCAATCTGCTGCGCACTGGAAGTGGATAGTGGGCCTTGAATGGGCCCTTCACGAAGAGATACAGAAAGTCATAGAACTTTCACTCCTGGCCTTGTTTTATCCATCAAAATCAATTACGCTGGTGACGGATGCGTTCCAGGTGGGTATTGGAGCAAGAAGGGCTCTCTGTGATTTGTATTTCTCGATTGTTCAACCATGCGGAGGAGTACTTGCAGACCCAGAAATGAGCCTTGGAGGTGTTTTGGACTGTCCGGAGACTGCACAAGTATTTGTTTGGACTGCATTTTACTGTTGTGGCGGATCATCAGGCGCTACAAATCCTATTCAACCCTAACAAGTCTATCGCTAAACCAACAGTTGCCATGATTCAACGATGGAGTATTGCACTGGTAGCTTACGATTATATTATACATCGACCAGGAATGACGATTCCACAGGCAGACTTCCTATCCAGGCACTCACGCTTTGGCGCCGCAGAAAAATGTAATTTTGTCGCCTAACCACCACTGGTTTCGAGGGAAACGGTGGGAAAATATACAGAACAGTGACTATTTCGGTTCTATTGAAAGGATGGTCTCCTAATATAACGAAGACATCCTCAGTTCTACATCCATTGGGACTGCGGAACGATACGAAGGTTATTTTTCGGAGCCACGGAACGGCTTCTTGTATTGTGTATAACTTTTGCAAGTACTGGAGCTCACATTTCAGTTAAAAAGCATACACGCTAAGATTATAAGATTGACAAAAAATGCTCGCCAATAAGATTGCTATGATGTCATCAATTCATCATCGAGCCAAGGACGTGAAATTTTTAGAAGAACCATCACGTTGATCAATCATTTCACCCAGGTGAAGTGAGCAGGGCGACAAGATCCGATAGCTTGATATATCCACGAGGCAGTATAATGCAGAGAGTAGTTTATTACAAACAACGTTCACGGTATTGATACAACAAAGCGTCTCATTCAAACTAGGTCATCCCACAATCACGTAGAGTAATTAACGGAACGGTTCGACGGTAGATGCGCGTTTTCTGTGGGTACAACACTGAACACAGTAATGCGCTCTAGGTCTTGTTCAATATTGACCGTAGTGAGAAACCACCAACCCTATCCTTTTACGCACTTCAACCATACTATTAACAAATACGAGAAGTAACCCTAGTCGGCAGACAGTTACCAGATAACAAGGAACAACTCCTTGGTTTCGTCGGGATTTCGAGCAGTGGTATACGGGAAGTCAGTTGTTAATTTTAAATTACCGTTTTCTACACCTAGACGAGTATCGTCAGTGCGTTTTCGATGAGTAGGAATTTTACACGACTGGGTTTGAAGTATAATGCGTAAGTGGAACGCGTGCTAAGAGTTAAATGCAATGCTTCATACCCTAGGGAGATGAATCCCGGCAAATTCACGTTTGGCGGGAAAATTAATATTGATGAATCCGGCGACCGTTTCGATGTCCTTGCAAAAGCTTTTCACATCTTCATTATGTCTTATGTGCGCCACAACAAGAGCGACTTTCGTTTCGTCACTTGCGTGATAGATGCCAATTTTACCAGGGGGTACATAAAGAAGTCTCATTGCCACCGTTTAAAACAAATCGGCCGAGGGAATGATTCACTTTTACATTGTAATTCAGTTTTCACCACCTGACAACAAATACGATGTTAGGGACGCTCAGCAGAAAGTGATGACTGAAGATACAATAACAAGTCAATCCCGGTGTGCGTCTCGACCAGATGTGTCCACATGGTTTTGAGGGTTGCCATTTCAATTACAAAATATACGGTCACCGGAGCATGATTAACAACCGGAATCATTTTGCTGTTATAATTACAAATCCTGATCACAACCAATCGTGCGCAAATTTTTCATAACCGGAATCAGGCGTGCTTTTCGACAGGCGGAAAAGCAAGAGAACTCATTTACATTAAACGCGCGATAAGCGTTATTGTTGTTATTTGATTATTCCCACGAAAAAATATTTGGTTGTTATATGCAGGGTGAGACTACAGTTATTCGGCTGGTAGATCAGATCAAATGACTAACCTTTCGGTAAATGTAACATGTGTTCTCCCTTAACGCACGGATGCATTTTCTCGAAATACAGTAATTGCCGTGCAAGAAAAAGGACAGTAACGTTCGGAGACTGATATGTGCAACAACACGAGTACCCACCATCAATTGTTATTACTCACTTCGGTATACCCGAAAGAAGAGTCTGCAATAACACCTTAAAATACAACTAACCAATAAAACGAGGGGAGACAACTTCATCAGCAGAATCAATCAGGCACATGGCAGCAAAACAAGGGCGTCGCATTGGAACGAGTACTACGGTTTACCTCACCGATGTGGATACTTTATACCACACGAAAAATCAGTTAACACCTACATAGATCACATTATTTAATTTGGGGTGGTAAATGCGCTCGCTGCTTGTCATAATGCCGCATGAGCTCAGTATGAAACCAAGAGTGTACTTGGCTTTAGTGGTATCCCTATTTCGTGGAACACACAACTAGTAACTAAGTCTACTTAGTTATCACAAAACAACTGCGAGTGCAACAAACGGATCCGCTGTTCACGTAAGAAACTCCGCGACTTGAGCACCAAAACGTAAGGCAATGGACTATAATTCTCGAATCGTGGGTCAGGTGCATCAAGCGAGTTTCAGTATACCAAGCAGTCAGATTCCCAAAACAGTCCAAGTCGAATCCTCTCTCACCACTGCGGACATAACCAGTGGTACAAAAAATACATACGCATACAGTCTCCCGCCTATCCGCTGATTACAACGTAGACAGTGGAGCACCATTCTGGAGACAGCCTAGTAGATGCAGTACATAACTACTGTTACAGAACTGGTTCCCCTAGAGTCATGGTCAGAATGCACAGCAGGCATAATCTTTGTCCATAAAGCGTATACGCTTAAATGTGAAAGACTGCACGGTGTGCGAATAACGAAGGTGCTTATCTCAAGCCTCGAGAGAATCCGTGTGGATCAGATGTTCACCCAACCATCATGAATGCTGTGAAGCTATCGCAGATCGAAATGCATTAATAACGCTAGACCACTCACCCACGACATACATATACAGATGTATCCGGAATTCTCGTACAACAAATAGTCAGATTCTCAAACGGCTAAAATCGAATTCTTAGTCTGTGCTGCACAAAACCACTATTTAAAAACAACTGATCGATAGCGTAGACTTCTTCCTGGGTGGAACAAAGCTTCGGTGCAGTATTGGTTGGCAGTGTCAATCACTCCGATTATAAGCCGTCCCCAGAACATCTCATCACTATCTACGGTGCAGTCCGCGCATAGATGCACACACGCGAGCACGGGTCGGAGGAATACAATGTGCGTAGGCGTCCTCGCATCAGAGTTTGGGTCAGGCTATGCAAAACTCGAGACTACTCATCTGTAATGATTTGGTTGTGACTGCAGCAGTGTAAGACAATTCCTGATGCGCCAGCATATCCGTAAAATGTACACGGTCCCACACAGGTGCTGTTTTTTTATTATACACCTACGTGTGATGAACAGCAGCAGGGCGAACCTCAGTCACAAGGACCTTCTGTTCAGTGGTGGAAACTGGTAACCTAAGCCCTGCGANCTGCGAATCCCATAAGACCCCGATAGGTTAGGCGTGGTATTGAACCCGACGACAGCAGAGCTGCCTACCACCAAAGTCGGGTGGCGGGGTTCGGACCATAGGGTCCAAACCACTGCGCCACCACCACCCCATACGGAAATCTTTCTTGACAGATTTTCTGTTTTCTTCAACGAGTTGCGGTGTTAGCTTTCGTTAATGGATGCCATCAATCTTTTGGGCTGAGCTACACATGCAATAATCAGGACTAAAGGAGATCTGCGTACGGACGGGACAGTGGCTGATAAAAACATTGGTCTCGTCCCAGATGGGATAGTGAGTTCGGATGGAAATACGTTCGGTAAGATGTTATCGCGGTACCTTTTTACTTCACTGAAATACAATCGGAAAACCACGTAACGATTTATTGACAGATACCGGAATAAGTCGATACCTAGGACCAGACAAGTGGACTTTATGTGTCAGTGAATGGACCTTGAGGTTTTTGTCAAATGCGCGTCAAACTGGCTACACACTAACGTAGAATATGCATATCTATGTCAAAAGACAAATCAGTTAGAGAATAACCGGTGGCCGATTGCAGCTTTTGGAGACTGTGTGGGAGGGTGTCAGGTGGCAAAAGAGATGCTGCCGGGTTGATCATTTGCGTATGAACTTGTGTTGGGGTTGCATGGCAAAAGCAAAAGTGAACAGTACAAAAAATACATAAGCTGTACAAACGTAGACGCGAGGACGAGATGACGATTGCAGGTGATGAAGGGACATGCTGATCCAAAATCACAAAGTCGCACGAGCCACCCAGTGAGAATCGGACCCCGATAACTCGTTGCATAGATGGAGGGATTAGATCGTGTTATGAGAAGGGAATCACGGCGGGTGACTGAAATGATGAGGGCGATGAAAGACATTATAGCGTTTATGTGGATGATCCCGTCCACGATTGTGTCGATCTTCATTAAGGCGGTCTTTGCGACGATCCCGATGGGTATAGTAATAGGGTTTTTCACGCCGATCGCGGTGGGAATCAGAATCCTCCCCACTGTGGTGTTTTCGTTTCTTATGGTGATGATGACGATGACTATGTTTGCGACTAGATTGATCTTGATCGGAATGATGCTGAGACCAGTTACGTCCGGAGTCACTGTGAACCCCGTTTGTCGAGCGTTTCGTTGAAACCGTGGAACGCTCGTCACTTGACGTGAACGATCGTTGCATCAAATTGGTCTTAGGCACCCAAACTATGCTAGAATCTGAACTGCTTTCGGAGGCTCGACGTGATTGCTTCGCCGGACTCGGGTTAGCGCTGTCCACCGATTTGTTCTGATCACGATTATGCTGAAACGAAGAGTGCAGATGGTTATTCAGGCGTAAATTATTCATGGAAGAAAAAACAATACCAAGCGTTTTCATTCGATTTTCAATACAATACATTCGGAGGAACCAGAGCTGTCGAATGGCATGTAATATGATTCAGAAATATTACATATACCCGACTGTAGTAATTCTTGCATACAATAATCTCAAAACATGCTCGGGATTGCTTCACTTAAGAATTCAAGTGAAGTATCTCTGAATTTCAACTTCATAGTAGCGCAAGATACACACAGCAAACGGTTTCTCGAAAAGGATGAAACTATTGCTGAAACTCCATGTAGTACACAACAGAGGGAAATTGAATTCATTTCGCGAATGATTTTATCTTTTCAAAAAGTAATACAAACTTAGACCCAATCCTAGGGATAACCAGCAATTGTCATGTTGTATTTCACCGACAGGGATTTGAGGAGCACCCATACCAGGCTTCACCCAGAAAGCAGTACTATAATGGATAGATATTACACGACCGGACATCAAACCAAATCTCTGAATCAGACGTATCCTCAACATTTGTGTCATAAGAAAGCGACCAAAAACGACAGATTTACACCCGGACATCTCGTCCGAGATAATACACGCAACGAAAACAAAAGATGGAACTGTATCTCTTGTGCTGTCGTCAAATGGCGGAGAACAGGAAACCATTCCCTATGACAAGCGGATTCGCATCTGTCTCGTTTCAAAAGTCAACAATTAGCCTACGTTTCACAAGGAAACGTGATTCTACTTCTGTCAGAACAGCCAGGACTAATCCGGCAAAGGTGAAGGAATAATACTTCCTAACCCGATACGCATCAATGACCATTAGAAGAAGTTCGCTCTACACTGCACATTATGCAGACCTCGAGACAAGCGGCGATCGAGTAGGGCGATGTACTAAATTTTTCCCTACATCAGAGAGCAATGGGAATGGAAACATGAAAGCTCAAGAGCTAAAGCGAGGCAAGAGGTGTCACAAATTAATGACACTCCTGCATACTTAAGAACCGACTGGGAAAGACTGATGAGGCTAGTAGACCGGACAAAGCATTTTGTAGAACATCCTCCATGACAACGTGAAAAGGCACAGGGACATAGGGCAACCTTGTCGAACTCCACGGAACACGACGACGGGTGACAAAAGCTGGCCATAGACCCTCATCATCATCGCGCAGCGAAATACACTGAAGCGAACTTCACTGATTGCTGCCAATTGCGCGCAATACAGAGGCGTACATGTGTGAGTTTAAACTCCACAAATGCTTCTGATCAAGTCACAGTTGAAGCGCAACGACACATTGAGCAAACACATTCTTGCACAGAAAAATACGTGCACCTCGGGAGCCCGTGTCACAGTTGCAGGAGAACAGCGAACTCACTTCACGACTCGTGGAACCATCCTGGATGACGGACATGGAAGGGGAATGTTTCCGCTTGCGTGGAGATGGATAATGATCATCGCCCGGTCGCGTTTTCCCGTCGCTTTTGACCAATGGCAGTTCACCCGGATCAGTGATTGATACAGGAGGAGTGGATCGTTCGGACCATAAACCAGGAGTAGACGTTTCACCGTAGAGAAGCTATTTAGAACGGTAGAGAATAGTCACGTGGTTAGTGAACGCTTCCAGTTAGGTTTTAATTGTTCAAACTTTATTCAGAAAATTAGTGCTGACTGAGGAAACGTGTTTCAGAGCAACGTAGAAAGAACGGAGGGAAAAGCGATGTTCAGGATCATCCCTTAAGTTTACTTCATCATTTTACTTTCTTTTATTGAATACATGATATTACAGTGTCCAGGAAGGAGAAACAGTCAATCGAAGAACTGCTGTGGTACAAAGCAACGGGGAACGTAGCGGTGGGTTTGAATACATGGTGACCCTAATCATTGCATTGTTGAGTCATTCTCCATAGGATCATTTATGGAACCTTCACTCGATTAGTGACCCACTTTCTTGATACTCCAACTTCAAACTGACATTCGCTGACCACACTAACACATACTGTTCTCTTCCAGCTCTGCCTGACCATATTCAACCTGAGGCAGGTAGTCTCATCAATGGCTCTCTCTAAAAGTCACTAGCCTGTTGTCGGGTGGTCCCTTCCTTATTCCCTTAAATCGCTTTTGCCCTGAATTTCGCTCATTCGAGCTAACCTTACATTTCCTTGCCATTCCAGAGCTCAGACAGATAGTCACTTCTATGAACTGACTTCTTTCAGGTCCCGCAAAGTCCGCTTCCAGTGCTCCACCCCTTCCCCCCACCCCGGAACGGTAAAATCATGGAACAACCTTCCCGTATGCGTTTTTTATCACTTATGATCATCATATTTTGTAAGTGCGGATTATCAGACTGGATCTATTGGGAATAGTTTCCCTGGGCATTTTACCTTCCTACAGTATATCTTCAGATCACTAGATTCTTCCAGTCCACTGCAAATCATAGCATTTTTGTAACAAAAAACCTGTGCTATTGCGACAGAAGCCCCACAACAACAAAAGTACTGTGGATTTGTCTTTGTTCGAGACAAAGGAAAAAACGGATCACTGAAAATATTCACCGATCACCAAAAATAAAATTAGATCGCAGTCAGATCGCTAGATCAAACAGAGATTAACCTCTTTTTCAAATAGGAATAAGGCTACTCACAGATCAATGTCAGGAGGGTACACTTGACACGCTTACCTGACGAACGGTGGCTAAAGACAATGGTGCAGCACTCGGTTTGGTGACCGTTTTTAGGATAACGTCCACCGGTCGCGTCACCACAGTGGGACCAGATGATAACAACGATGATGATGATGATGTGACAGTAGGTTCGTTTGACTTTTCGGGCGATTGTGAGGAAGGACCGATGGGCACTGTAGTAGTGCTTGTGGTAGAACTGGTGGCGCTAGTGGTTGTAATCACTGTTCAGCCGGTCGGGTAAGATCAAACATGTGGAAGAAGGATCAAAAACACGGCGAGAGAATTAATCAATTCAGTACACGATAAAAGAGGCTCGAGATGAAAAACGTGTTTGGCATCCACACCGGAGCATACTTGACAAGATCGATGAGAACCGAAAAATCGAACACAAGGCAAGCATACCAAGGGCTACAGGATCAGAGTGACTTCATATAAGTGCATCGTGAATCTTGGTATACACTCACTTCTCTTAGCCATCCACAGTCTAGTTGATTAACACTCGATAATTAGAGACCAAACCCATCAAGGATTGACGAGCAGAGTTGAATTTCTGGTACAAAATTGACAACCTGTACCTAGTAAAAACCCGGAAGTGGCAAATTTCTCTCTTGTATTGTCGATCTAGTTTGGACAGGAATACGCGATTATTGGGTCGGATTGAAGCGATAACAGTGTGAGGAGGGTCCAATTAATCCAGTGGTTTAGAAGAGAAGAAACGAGGAACGGGTTAAGCTAAAGGAAGCAGTGCGCCCCATACCAAGTAGAGTGTGTAACCATTGTACATGTCTTGGTAATGAATATCTGTAAAAAGATGCCTACAAAGTGTACAGAAGTCAGCAGTAGTTCAATGAACCGGTGTGGGGAAATAGAATACAAATCAACCCAAATCAGTGGCAATCCCATGAACACTTGAAGGATAGTCTACTAAATGAAACTAATTTATTATCGGAACCTTGGGGTGCACAGTTGGTACAGGTTACGATTGGGAGGATCAAAAACAAATGAGTAACTTGGTCAGTAGACAGGGTCATGGAGATTGTGGTCGGATTAGTCGGGATTTCCTGTTTAACTTCGAAGAAGTTTTTCAAATCCGGCAGACCAGAGCAGATAGGATAGCAAATCAAAACTCCTGTTAGGACCGAGGGATGAAATATATGTTATGCTTACAGAGTAGGTGAAGTACTTTGGTGTAAGAATAATCACAATCAACGATTGTTTCAAACTATCACATATGATACCTATTTTGATATACTACTTTATTGGAATTTATGGGCCGTGCGCAAAATCCGGGTGAGGCTAACCATTTTCACATGATTTCTGCATCGTTGAGAAAAACACATATTTACATTCAACTTATAAATGCATAGTCATGTGATAACGTGCGGTGATGTTGTTTGTTTGCACTTACAATATACCGGAAAATGCACTGGCGCAAGTCTAGCACAAACATGTAATTTCAAAACCAAAACAATCGAGGATCAATGCAGTCACAAGAACGGAAAGAAAAAAACGATTGCAGAGTGCAGTATATAATTGGAAACCAACAGTGTATCTTACTGCCACACAATTTGAGTGACCTACACAAACATCACGGTCAAGTTGGCCCATTTTTCTGATTGCTCGTGATACAAAGTAAATCAGTCCTGGTGTCAAATCAAAACAGGTTTTGGAATAGTACGATATCTCGATAACAGGGCTAATGATCAGCGTTTTTTAGGCTAGATTCATATTTCATTGCGCTCATACGTGGGGAAGCCTCTATCACGTGATCGCTTCTAATTGGCCGGTTGCTCTAAATTGATTTGCATGTCGCACATATTTTGTTTCACGATAATTTGGCACTCCCGTGTGCGGCTGTCTTTTGACCGACCCATGTGACCGGTCAATGGGGAGGGCAGTGAAAAGGTGAGTAGTAAAAACCAATTTATTCGAATGCGGACAAATAAACGGTGCGTAGAAAGTGAGCAAATGCATCAATGTCATGATTCAAAGCACTCAGTCAAATCATTTAGTTTCACCAACCATAGATTAGGCTGGCACCGAGATGCCTGATGTGAATTGCATATCCCAGTCCCCCCAGTTTTCGTACCTTCAGAGAATATTGGTAAGTTGAAAAATGCCTTGGTGAATCAACATCATGGCCAATCATCACTTGGTTTAATCGATCGATATCCCTAGATTGATCGGTCATGGCGCACCGTGCTACTTGGTCGTACCAAACACGGAAATTCAACTATTAAGTATCGTCCAGAAAACAAAACACCAAACTGTCTGGAGGGATGATGTTTGTGGCTGGATAAAAGGGCAAAAAAATATTGGAAAAAACTTATTTTCCTGTGTTTGTCTGGAAATTATATCTCAAACAGTCCGCAAATACAACCATTCCCGAAATAAAAGAGCTCCGCAGGTGATTCCTTTCGCCCTAGGCTACGGAGTTTAACTTTCGTGAGGTGCTAGTACCAGTTGCGATCGTAACACTGTTTCATTACGGCTTAGGTGGTAAAGCAGATAAACAAAAGAAACGAATACGCAAATGGGGAGTAAATAACGTACCGGTATTCAAACCAGACCGCGGCTTGACGCTCGGATTGAATACAATGCGGGGAGTACTGGACACTGAAGATCGTCCCGATGCGGGTAGAAGTGAACCAGGAGCCTGAAGGTGGGCAGCGGATGAACTTTTGGCGGGGCTAGTTACAAGGGGTTTGGATGGCAATTGAGTGGGTTGTACGACAGGGATTGGATCAGTGACAGGGGAGGATTTGGTAGGTTTGACAGCCATTAGAGTTGTCTTAATTTTCTCTGTGTAGTCTGGATCTGCAGCAGCCACCGGAGTGTTGAGGACTGGGTTAACCTGAATCGTAAAGGAAAAAGAAATTCGTCAGAGAACTCAATAGTGACCAGTCAATAAAGTTATTTAACACAAATAAAGTGAGCCGGAAGAGTATGTCATCTTGCAACGCTTCCAAACGATCATTTTGCTATAGAGCTTGGCACGATACATTGATCTCATACGGAGTAAACTTTACTGACTCGGGATTGAGGCAGTAAATTACTACAATAAACCGAGGGTGTATAAGAGCCTAAATTTCGGATAGTTTAAAGGAGTAACTACCGACTTCTACACATTGACTTTTTCATCCACGTGAAAGTTTTGTCTAAGTAGGATCATGGTCAAAGGCCAGACTATGAGCCGGTGTGAGTGAATGTAAATCGGATCCGGTGAAGTGGATCGATTATGTTACACTGGGCTCCTTCGTTGAAGAAATCAAAATGAACTCAATGGATGCATAGAAACAATGGGTGATGTGGCTGAATGTCGAGAACAATGGCGTACGTGCATCTTATCGTCTTCAAAACAAATCTATTCGATTTTCATCCCGCATATTTATCTTCGGCCCAACTGTGCAAATACTGCCAGTTGACATCAGTCCTTCATCTGAAATGGAGATTAACCGGGAAATAAGTTACCTCAAACGGCATAAGGCTTCCGGCCCCGACGGGCTGTTCCCATCCGTTTTTTAAGAATGGAGGCTATCTTGGTTTTGGAGTTAACAAAACTCCTGGGATCAGTGTGGGAGGGAAGAGGTTCCAACTGATTGGTGTAAATCGGTCATCATACCGATTTACAAGAAAGGTGATAGATCCTCTTGTGAAAACCACTGAGGAATTAGTTTAATCAATATTGTCTCTAAACTTCTCGCCGGTATCATACTCCGTCGATTGTCTGCCGCACGTGAACGGTGTATGCGTGAGAACCAGGCCGGTTTCAGACCTGGTCGAGGCTGTATTGACCACATCTTCACACTTCGTCAAATTCTAGAGCACCGGCATTCTTTTCGTAGACCCACTATCTCTGTTTTCCTCGATCTGAAAGCGGCTTTCGACTCAGTCGACCGCTCTAAACTCTGGCGCTGCCTTTCCCTGAAGGGAGTGCCAGAGAAGTTTATGCCAATCTTACAATTCCTCTAAAATAATAGCCGAAGTCGAGTCCGAGCTTACGGCAAGTTTTCACCCGAGTTCACCACCGAAAATGGTGTTTGACAGAGTTGCCCTCTCTCTCCTTTTATATATAACTTTATTTCTTGATACAGCCCTATCCTCGTGCAAGGATAGCGGTATCGATTTACTTCCGGGTGGCAGACGTTCTGATCTAAAGTATGCAGACGATATTGTACTACTAAGTGAAGATCCAGGTAAGTTGCAAGCTTTTCTGGACAGTTTGAGTGCTAATGCTGCCATGTTCGGTATGCGTTTTGCACCTTCAAAGTGTAAAATGCTACTACAAGATTGGGTTGATCCAGCACCCAGTCTCACTCTAACTGGGGAAGTAGACAAATTTTGCTATCTAGGCAGTTATATCTCACCCGGCGGACGCATCACAGATGAAGTGTCGGCGCGCATACAAAAGGCTCGATTGGCATTTGCCAACTTGAGACATTTGTGGCGCTGTCGCGAAATCCGGCTGTCTGTGAAGGGTCGAGTGTATGCTGCAGCAGTTCGACCAGTCCTGCTCTACGGTGCAGAGACTTGGCCACTAAGGGAACAGGATAAAAATAGATTGGCGTTGTTCGAACACCTCCGTCTACGTAGCATTGCACGTGTCTGGTGGGATAACCGGACTAGCAATGCTGAGGTTAGGCGTAGAGTTTTAGGCAATCGCGGTCGTCCACTAGAGCAAGTGATCGACCTCCATAGATTACGCTGGTTGGGACGTGTCACGTATGTCGCCAGATAGGTTGCCTCGGCGAACGATGTTTGCAAGGCTGGTAGCGATTGGAAAAAGATAAAGAGTGGTCAAACTAAGACCTGGCATGAGGGTATGAAAACCCTAACCAGGAGTCTGGGTCACAAAGGTCCCTTTAGGCTCCCTGGCTGGGGACCTCGGGATGATGGTCACTGATGGTTAGCTACACTGAGTGAAATGACTGGGTGTCGCAAACAGTTGCGCTCGTGCATCCACTCGTTATTCTTCTAACACCACTATATGAATTCCCCATCTTCCGCTTGAATTTGCTTCGACATTCCAATCTTCCTTTTGCTCCTTTATCCAAATGGGCAAGGAAAAGACAGCAACCAAAACCGGCGCACGAAAGTGCATGGTTAATGGTTGGAAAAACTGAACTGAGGTGATATTTATCTTCGTACCACTCTAGAAATTGCTAGATCATTTCTTCCGTTTCATTCACTTCAATGCTAGTGGTGGTGCAGTGGTTTAATCGCTGTCACCAGCATGCTTGAAACCCTATGGTCCGAGGTTTGAGTCTCGCGACCGCTAATTTCGGTTGCAGGCAGTTTTGTATCGTCCGGATCAATAGAACACCTAGCTTAGTGGGATCTCATGTAGTTTGCCGCTCCAAGTCCCGGGCTTAGATTAGCGGTTTCCACCACTGAACAGATCATCGTGACTATGTGGTCTACCCCGTTTGCTGTTTATCACACACTGGTGTGTCAGAAAAACATGCAAACTGTAGTGCAGGCTAATAGTTACACAAATTAAACTGAATTGAATTTTCATATCCTTAGATATGAGTAACATAATCGCCATTTTAGTTACTTTTAATTTTTATTATTCATGCAACCGAAAGGACAGTTTGGAGATAACACTGAACGGAACTGTGGGGTTGTCGGGTGTACAGTGAAACTGGGCGCGTACATGTCCGGCATAGCACATGCACAACCGGCCCCGAACTTCAACTGGAACGAAAACCCCAGTCGGATAAACTCGTACAAAGACAAGAGACAACAGTGGACAGCGGAGCCAATAACCAGGAATGAACGTAATGCAATACACTTTTCCGCAACTACCTCAAAATCCAACTTTATTCGAGCATTGCTCGAGCAGCGATAACCGTTTGTTTCCCGCTTAGCTAATGGGATTGAAAACGTCCGCACAGTGGAAACTGCCTTACGAAGTGCATTTGCAACAATCGACCAAGTTCAACTATTGGTACACAACCGAAACTGGATGCACGAATCCAGAATCCGATAAGCATATGGATATTCTTTTATTACACCCCTTACACCTTACTGGTGTCCAACAGTTTTTACCCGACACGATGCCACCCACGCTTTTCCAATTCTATCAAATTCATTTCGGGATGCGACAGGTGTGGTAAAAATGGATTATTGTCGCCAATATTTCACACTTCATTGGCCAAGTAACGGATCGATTCACGCTTTGTATATGCTTTTTTAATGAACATAGAATTTGTGAACTTACCGCTTCATAGAATAGGAGATATGGAGCTTGACGAAGCACGTGTTCCACATTAGTGGAGCTGACCTAGATGCAAAAGGCGTACAGAATTGGGTTAGAATGCATCAAGTTTAAACTTGCTTTCAGAAAGCATGGTAACTAAATCAAACAATATACTGGAGATTTCGCGATTGAGTTAAATGACAGGCATAGCTATGGAGTACTATTACTTAGTACTCATTGAATGATTGACTGAATACGAGAGCTATGAAACTCAGCCAGAGTTTGTAAACCACAGGTTTGACATGACTTACGAGGCCCCAAATGAATCACAACAAAATACCGTTTACGGAACTTACAAAGCTGTCGTTGTGCGAGAGCCATGAACCATGACGACGAGTATAAGCCACATAATGACCGCTTCGGCAGCTGTAACCTTCGTGGTTTACTGTGCCGTAAAGGCGGTACAGTACTGGTGGGCCTTTATTGTCGGTCATGAAAGGGCGTAAATTAAATGAGGAAGGGAATTCCACACGCGTATCCAGTTTCTGGTTACGGGAGAATCTGGAAACAAAAAGGAAAACAATGGAAAATGATTGAAAAGTGATAAAATATGAGTTGATATTCAAGGGATGATGACAAGAGTATGACATTCTCAGACAGTGTATACTAACCAAACAACTGGCGACGATTAGTCTCAGATAGAGATAAAATTCGTGCAGACCCAATGATTTGTAAGACTTAAACCTGCAACCACGTTCACCAGGTAAAAACGCCCACGCCCTCGACGCTGATAGTTCGCCACCGGTTATGCAGTGAAGCAATGCTCACTGATTCACATTTGAATGTCCAAGGGGTTATCGTATCAGTGACTCGGGGATGCGTATTCAGGTACATGGAATAACAACGAAACGTAGCATCAATAAGTGGACTGTCGTGTCCTTCTGGGGAACCCTTCTAGGTTTTTACGTTTGCTTGACATTATGCTTCAACCAGTGGCTCCCAGAAGCTATTTTCCTGTATAAAAAGGGAGGGTTAAACCAATTTGAAGACAGTTGGGACCCTTGAGTTTTCACGGGGCAGTATTCTTCTGTCTTTCATCTCACACTTGGTTGTGAGATGGGTGCAACTTCAGATAAAAAGGTGGAATGGTTCTCAGGACGCGACTTCACATAACATCCAGTGAGTCCTATGTCGATGTCTAGGGGCAACTCAAAACATGGGTGGATGTGGGACCTCTATAGGTATTTCACAGAATTCAGCAGTGAAACCGCAACGGAATCCTCACCGACCTCGCCACCAACTGCTGTGTGTGAAAAGCTGCCACCTGAGGTATCCAGGCAGCAAACACATGCTTTAACACGAGATAATCATGGAAAAGGTAGAAGCATAAGCAGATCTGTTCGGTATTGAACAGCTTCTTTGATCAGATTTGTTTGGATGTTGTGTGAATGAAAATATACTTATGACGGCACTTGAAATCGAAGAATTCCACGAGGAGGCTCGGGGAACTGTAACGTCTGGTTGATGCAGCACAGAATGTGTTTTGTTTGAGGCGATGGCAACAGACGACTTCTTCATGAACAGTTGCATTAAGAATTGCACCCTCGTGTAACCTGTGTGTGCAACATCGACCGAAGTGCTTTTGCCCATTGTGCCAACATACGGTCTGTTTCGAAAGCTAGACTGAGATCGTGGTCTTGTGGATGTAGTTAAAGCATCCACTTCGGTAACTGATAGGTTTCTTGTTCGCTTGACTATTTATCGTATTTCAAATTATTAGGTTTTGGCACTCATCTGCTAGTGGCAATAATGTAATTTCTGTTTGTTTTAAACTTACATAGCAGCCGGATGCAAACGTTACTTTCAGTGGGGCATTGGAAACCACTGGACTTTGAACTGATCAGGCGTAAAAATTCGGAGTTTGAAGCGATTCCATTCACAATTAACACGGCTCGCTCAGGAGACAAAATTTTACTTATCAGTCGAAGACATCTGTAGGTCTTGGTAGGGGGTAGTTTAACCAAGAGCTGAAGTGTCCAAGTTGTTCGTTCCAAATCAAGGCCCCTTGGATGTTCCTGTGTGAGATAGCAATATTTTTTGTATTTCACCGGGCTCAGTAGGCGTACCTTAGTGGCCTCGTCTAGAGTAGCTCCATCAATTTTAAGGACGTCCACGTGTCTCCGATACCATGAGTCAAAAGTGTTGCTGTCATCTGATGCTAGACTGTTGTATCTGCATACTCTCTGGCTGAGTGTCCCCATTCAGGAAGAGCACACGTCATTGAGCTAGAGCGTGCGGAGGTAAACAAAATATCAACAAAACACTAGGTCGAACCATACTCGAGAAACCGATAGCAAAGCTAACTAGATCAGATGAGGGTGAGGTGACATCAATTACACGACTTGCTGTGGCTTGAATTGAAATCTGACTACACCTATAGATCTATGGGGTTACCTGAGTTGCTTATGCTGTTTTAATCTTCAAATCTTTTGTATAAAACTGACACTGCCTACATTGAACAGTTTCTTGACGATAAGGATAGTGTCGAAGAAACTTCCAACGAACTGTGATGTTTAATACCTCCCGTTAGAAGCAAATTCACGCGGACTCTATTTACTTGTTGAAAACATTTATTCATGACGGAAAAATTGTATACAAGTGCTCAAGCCGGTGACACACCTATTCAGATACATTTTCGATTATTAAGGCCAATGTAATTTGCTACCTATGGAAAAACGCAAGCACTTCAGTAAGATGAAAACATGTTTTAGTGTCCCGGTGAGAAAATGGACTTTGATGGAATCAGGACAGATGATACGTGCGTCTAGCACCTGATACTCATGTGTGACTTCCGTCACACTGGGGCTAAGAGATGACTTGGAAACGATGTTTAAACATTTGTACGGGACCGAGGTAGGATCATGCCCCGAAAATCCCGGCAACCGTACGGTCAGAGAAATCGTAAGACCTAGCAGTGAAACGACAGTGGTGAGGTTCATGATGTCCCGTCCGAGAAAATTGGAGTTTACCAAAACTGCAACGTTGAAACCACGAGCTGATAACATAAGCATTCAGCAACCCCGCTCGGTGGAATGCAAAAGGAGTACGAACAGAAAAGATGTGAAACTATAGTTAGTTATGGCTTTGACGGCAACAGCAATGAAACCATGCACTGGGATATAAGTGGTCAGAGAATAAATCTTATCTACGGAGCGCATTAGTTTTCCAGCAAACATCAGTTGTGATCTAGCTCCACATGATCACTTATGGATTTTTTTCTCGCAACAAATAACATTCCCCTCAACATATTCACTCACATCCATCGATAACACGGTATGGGCGGATGAAAACAGCTCCGGGATCGGTCAAGACCAGGTGCTGAGCTGTTTTGCCACTCAAATATCAGAAAGAATGCAAACGATGCTAGTTAGTCACAGATTTCACAAAAGGAAGCTCCAGTGTCTGCTATTTGAATGATGCACTCTACGAGCGCGTGCGATAGAGAGATGAAGGGCGTATGCTCTTTATACAGTACGGTTTACTGTGTGCAGAGGACAAGTTGTTTAGAAAAGAGAAATGATCGCGGTATCAAACGGAAAGATGCAGTACTGTACAAGAGGGAAAAGAGTGCCTACTTACCTGCAAAGTGATTTAACGGTGGAGGTAAAAAGCCATTTCAAAAAGAGCTGTGATTCAGGTGAATGGTTAATACCATCATTATTTTGAGGAACGCCACAACCACCAGTGACAGAAAAAAGGAAATGCAGTAATGGACCACATTCAACCAGATAGCGAACGCAGAGCAGTTCACCGAATAGTAGATTCGAAATCCCTACGGCGGTTATCCGTGCTGCATTGGGATTTATATTACTCTCCGGTTGACGGTATAATCCATCGCGCATATTAATCGAGGACGGAAATAGAAACACCAGCTTAGACAGTATCTGATGGACATAACGGAGAGAACTGAAAACAAACATACCGATTGAACTGGATGATTAAAATTGGTCCACCTTGAAATATGGTACTACGACGCGTCGCGGAGCGATATTGACGACAGTTTTCACATTTGTAAGCGTTCTGGCCACAAAGTTCCTCGCTATGGATATAGTTGAACAGACATTGCTAGCAGGACGGGTGAAAAAAGGAGAGAATGTGTATGAGGATAGAGAATGAAGCGAAAAATGAATTTCAATGACAATAGAATCGAGAACTTACTTGCAAACTGCGACCGCACGTTATGTCCACTGACAAATTGAAACAGATCTCATCACGAGCTGATATCTTCTGACAGGTATGGCAGGTTACTGAAGTAGAACGAAAGAAGAGAACACAGGAATTTTGTTTTTAAGGTTGATTAACGAGTATCCATTAATTAAAGCAAAGGGTACACGAAGCAGGGATAATGAGCCATCTGGTTATACCGCCGATGTTTGAACACCGTTGTCTGCGCCCTATTGCACGATTCTAGTGGGGAAAAGGACGATCAATGAGGTTAGGTTAAAAGTTTGAGGTAATCACGGTCATCTACTGAAGTAAGTGGTCGACCTCCGTAGACCGTTGATTGGAGCATGTGGCCAAATGGGTTGCCACGTTGCGTGCTGTTTGGTGAGGAATCTTTTGGTGGAAAAAATTCAAGAGTGATCAAACTCAGACCTGGATACCCTCGGGCTAAGCAGAGCTGAATGCTGCCAGTCGCGTCCCCGGGTGGTGGATAGGAGGATATCTTTAGTATAGAAACCCGATGGAGTGACTGTTGTAATTCGTTTTTCCGCTCGAATCAATCGCCACACAGAAATCACCAACGTAACAAAGATGACTCCTCCTCCGTCCGTAATGAAAATAAATCCAACTGTTGGTGATTATTTTGACGAAACTGGAATGTCCCCTAGTGGCTGACAGTATGTACCATTGGCACCCCAAACAGCAAACAGCCAACCTACGCAACTTAGTCTGCTGCTTTTACATATTCGTTTGGCTTCAGCACTGGAAGAACTGTCCACCTTGGTTTGCAATTAATCACCATATGCCATAGAGAACACTTCCTATCGAGGGGCTGATTGTGCATGTAATTTTTCACGAACGTGAATTGGAAAAACAGCCTACGGTAATTGTGAATGTGCTCTCAATTCTACGAAATCTCTCAAGTATCCAGCATATCAAATTTATCAACGATAGAACCTTCTGACTCATATCTTCGATTCACAAAACAATCAGTGATTGAAAGAAAGAATTAACGATCAAACGTATTATAAATCCAGCATTGTGATAGCTGTCGGATAATGTACACGAACATGGTTAGACGCATGTTGACAATGATTCTTCGTCATTTGAGACTTGGCATCATCAACAATGCTTTCCAAACACGTCATTCTCCAATCCCCTTGGTTCAATTCTTCTTTAGGATCACCCGCTACGGTCTTAGCATGATGATTTCGAAGCTCCGTTTTGTCATAACGTTTTATAGTACTCCATATTATCTCGATCGGATTCACTTCTAAAGAATATAGAACAAGCCTGAGAATGCTCACTCTACTTCGGGCAACCACATTTTCCAGTTTCGAGTAACAGGATGCGCTATCACACTCAATCACACACTATCTGTGCTCTTCTTGCAATAACTGAACGACAAACATTTGCAAAATTGCAAGCACAATACGGAGTTGTGAGATCCTCTTTTCAAAGTATATATACGGTTCAACAAACCATCAGCATTCATAGCACCCTTGATGTGAAAATTTCTTCCTCTTGAGTTGGTCACTGTTATTCGACACGGTTGACCTCTTGGTGCACGCCCCCAAATTTCGTGAATGTAGATTGAAGTTGATTTCATCAATCCATATAATTTTATGTCCAAGACCCTGGTACCGTTGTAAGTGTTAAACATATCCAGAAGAAATGGCTCAAAAACAGGTCGTTATATTACCGTTTCCTCTTCTGTTTAATATCCAGTAAGATCATCGTTACTGGTATTTGATGAATCTTTCTGATTTTAAATAGTTTCCCATCTAAATAGTTGCTGATGGTATTGATGGAAACTTTTTATCATATTTGGCTTTCAGTTTCGTCCGTGGAAACGACAGTGTTACAATTGGATTCTCTTCAATCCACGAAATCAATTCCTTTATATCTCAATTCGATAACTTCATGAACCGCCTTCCTCCGTGGGTTTATTCTGACGGTTCTTCCTGATGTCTTCTTATCCATGTCATCGCTGTCCTTTTCTTCACACCAAGTGATGCAGCGATCATCAAACAGTCATCACCATTATCTCACGCTCGTAGTATATTATCCTTACGGTCCATTGGTAGATGCCACAGCACGGAAAATGGATATCACTGTCAAGCGGTACACCATAGGGTAACTATATCAGGTAAGTAAACTAATCCACTAATTCTCGTATTTTAGAACAAGGAACCTAACTCTTACCAATAACAACTGTAACACAGTTGCCTAGTAATAAACTAACACCTAATTTGTATGAATAGAATGGACTGAAAACAACGAAACAGTCAAAGGGTTTGTTGTGGCAACAATAGTCTGTTGGTTCTAACGCAACAACAAGAATAACAGGATGGACGAATTCAAATAAAAACAAAGTGAAATAGAGATCAGACAAATAGTTGGTTTTATCTTACACTTTTTGATATTTTCGTGTTAGTTTATCGTTTTTAGGAGGCAAAAGATTTCACCAGATAGGCCATATAATATCCGCACCACTGACTTCTATTCTGGGGCCATATCTCTCAGCGTCTCTAACCAACGACAATCTGCATCCCTTGGGCTCCAACCTGGAAGGTGGGTTGCATCAACCGAAGCTTCTTCATACCGCTACACCATGTTATGGTCTGAACGCCACGACCTTCCTTCCGGCATTGTGCAACCCATGTGAAGAGAGCACGGGAAGGTAATCGATGGACAAGCAAACGCAAAACGTGATCAAGTCATCGGAGGTAAAGTAGAACGATCAATATTTTTCGGAAATGACTATCCACACCCAACACACGACGACGAACCTCAGCATTTTTACCCGGTGTTCCCACCGGACACGGGAAACACTTCGGAGACATCGGTGATCGAATAGGGAGTCAATTAGTAATCCAAATGCGGAGGAGCCATGTCTCGTAACTGTAAGGCGGAACACGCTACGAACAGCTGCGGTGTACACTCTTCCCTTAAAGGACAAACGGATGTCATGGCGGCACCACAGGTGTCTCAGATTGACAAAGGCTGCTCTGGCTTTCGCTATTCGTGATGTGATCTCCTCCCCATCACCAACACCAGCTGCGATCAAGCTCCCGAGGTACTTAAAGCTCTCAACCACTTTCAGCTGATCACTACAAAGGGTGAGTGCAAGCACAGGCTTCTGCCAGTTTGAACAAACATAATTAATTCGTGGGCATTTGGTGTTAAAGCGGGTTTAGGCGACCGGCAGTCTTGCAGCATCACTTTGAGTGTGCAGCGCACATACCGAATGTGATAACAGCACTTGTTAGTCTATCTGTCAAGTGCGGTTTGGGCGTCATATCAAATAGTTGTCAGAAGAGAGCCAGCGGTGATCAGGATAACACCTGATACGAGAGTGCGAAAATTCCGATCATGGAAAACTTGGGCAAGCATAATAGGTCGCGTTGGACTCCGCAGTTGGGAAGCTCGGAATCAGTCGAATAGGTGATCAGAGACATTGAGTGATATCTCGTAAATGGTGCATTGGAATAATTTCTGTGCGAGAGAGAAAAAGTTTCATTTTACTGAATTATGTATCTTCACTCTGATACTACTTCCAGCTCTCTAATCTTTTGCTCATTGCAAGAAATAAACTGAACTGGGGACGTCGTAGTTTTGTGAGCACCGGGTGACTAATACCCCGAATGGCAGTAGTTTGGCTGATGGGCTATTTTATTTATACCTCTAACTTTACATGGTCCTCTTCGTGATGCGAGAGGTGGGTGTGAAGGATTTTGTGAAGCGATAAAAACAATTTTCAGGACCCCAAGTGACAATATACCCTAAATCGAAGGCCGTACGAGTACAACGATCGCGATCGATGTTAGTGTCAGTGGAACGAGAAGAGAAAGATGAAGATAACAATTTATGGTGGAGGTCAAAGAAAGTACCGGTTTTGATGAGATCGAAGATTAGAGCGAGTGAAAGCACGGAACCTAGGTGGACGCCGGCACTCAGATGGTTCAATCAACTCGGATGTGGATGGTGCGCTTATCGAAAAAAGAGAATAGTATAGTAAACCAGATCAATGAAGGAGACAATTACTTTTACTTTGTCCAAATAGTTCCGTGGGAATAGGATACGGGGCCGCGTCCACAGGGTCGTTAGGTGATCATTACAGTAGATAAAAGTAAATCACAACCGACATGCAGAGTGAACTAACAGTTGTTTTTTCCAGGACCCACAATAACACTACAGCGTTAAACTAGCACGCTGATAATAGCTTACAGACCGAATACAATTGAAAGTCAGCTTACCTTCAGATCGAACGGTACCGCCAAATATGCGCCGAACAGCATTGGTTTCAGACAAACTGCGCGGTAGCTTGCCTAGACCAGCTGTAGTATTGTCCTCCATACGTGACAATAGTCCAAGAAGGAATTCGTGCGCATCCTCTTGTTGATATGGTCGAAATCCAGGGCAGACAGCTAGAAGTGTGGCATCATAGAATGATATAGACACACCACTATACGGTATTTATCTAAAAATATTCTAATATGTATATACACAAATTTAATACACCAGCTTAGGGAGCAGGCTTGGTGCCAAAGCAAGAATATCCAACGTGTTAAGGAAGAAATTGACTACAAATACTGAGATATCCTATCAACACTAAACCTCTGTGAGGACGTCTCGTACAATCAAATAATTGAAAAACACTATGACCGCAATCATACCTGTCCGTTAGCTGAGAGCATACTTCCCTAAGGAGCGCACAAACAAACGAAATCGAGTCAAGACCTGCATACTTACATATATTTTCTTGGTCAATCCACAGAGCATCTTTAGAGGGCTTCTGCCACCAGCAAACGCCGATAGGTCAATGAGAGCAACCCATTTTGCGGCCAATCTAGTGACCTCAAGCCAAACCAGAAAAAAAAGAAAAAATTTGAAATAAAAAGTGTAGTGAATGGGAAGAAGAACCAGCTAGCCCAATGAAAGGAATAAGTACCTAATTCAAGGGATTAGCAGAGGCGACGGTGCTGGAATTCTGTTGTACATACGGAACTTCTTTCACATCTGCGGCTGCTATATTCTGATGTGAGCTAACAAATTCCGCCGCTAAATTCTATGACTCAAACGGACAACTGGTGTAACACACACACACACATTCACGACCAAAACTGGCTAGCGAAAATTTCGCGTCATTTAGTGCATAAACGCACAATACAGGATGAAGTAAATGAGTTCTTACTGAAAATGAAACTATCCGTCTACAAAATGACCAGCACCGCTTCGGGTGGAACAGAAAACCGAAAACTAGGACAACATCCATTCGTTGGTGTTAACTCAAACGAAATGAATCCTTATTTCCACCCGCACCTGTTGCGCAGCAAGTCACTGCATTGAGTTTTTTTGGGAGAGAGGTCGATCGAACGGGAAGTCAACGTGATGTTGCACCGGGTAACAAGAGTCTCGTAGCACCAAACTGGTCTAAATGCGGTGCGATGTATCATTAGGAATGAGTAAGAAACTTCAATTACTTGACCACTGCCAATTGGAAACACAGTAACCGCTAAATTGAAACAGAAATTAGCTTACCGCGAACATTGGCAAGGAAGTAAGACGGCAAGAAGTGTCCGAAGCCAAAAGACGGTGAACGCACGGCCGCTTGATGCGAGCGCTGGCTGTGCTCGCGCAGTAAGCCTAGGATGCCACAGAGTGCACAAAAACGACTCTTGTTTGGTCCCAACTGGCCTGAAGCTGTGGGGCAGTTGCCAGCATTACGATGTTTGGCGCCAACATATGCCAGTAGGGGGCCAGTTGCAAGCAAGCATTGCAGTACCGAGTTCAGGTAGCACGTGTTCCCCGAATTGCCTAATCCTAATGACTGGCTTGGAACATGTTCGCCGCCGGTGCGACACCACGCGATCAGTTCAGAATCAGTGCACAGGGTGCGCTTAGTGGCTAAATAAAAACAAAAACAAACGACAAATTTAGGCTAAAATCAAAAAGGATATTAACGGTAGCATGATATCAAGACTGATCATTCTCGCACAACATTATTTTGATAAAGGCTGAATGACTAAGACGGTGCTGTCCTAGTCGATTCATCTCACGTTGCAGCTGAATAACCATGAAGACTGAAAACAGTTAACTGACTAACAACATCGAGCTAGCAGTGTACAACCATGGTCGGCGATTAAATAGTAAACACCTACTTATTGTCTTGATTTGACTTGAATGTCATTAAAAGCCGGGTGAATGGTTATTTTGACATTTTATACTTTTAGGCAACTTTCTCCCACGTGAGAAGTCGTCTTCAGGGACGAATCCATGAAGAATTCCGAGTGGAAAATAAAGTGGTATCCTAATACCACACAGCAGTTTTTATTTGCGTGCATCTTTAGCCTCCGGAAGCCTCAGTAAGGTCGGGGGTGGGTGTCCCCGAAAATGGCTGATAACTCCTTCATTGCACCTTACGAAATGCTCCTGTACAACCAAGCGTCTCAAACAGCCTCTGCCGAGGAAGTCCTACTCACTGCCTTCCGGTGGAGGTGTTCTTCCACCAAAGCCAACAGTTTACCTATGGTAGTTGGCCAAACACGCTGATTTCAAACCAACCAAGGAAAGGAGTACGGACCACACACAAACACATACCTTCCTGGCTGTGGTAGTGGTCACGGGCTAGATTGGGTATCCATATGTATTGGTCACCTTGGACGTTTGACGTCGTCCGAAGGCGTTTGATCCGACACCGGCTCCCAATGGATTGCAGTTTTCACACCGCCCTCACGGGTCAGGCTATGGATAGTCCAAGCTCCGGTTGTAAATTCCCCTGCCTTGGCCCGGACAACATAGCAGTCGGTATTCCACCCACAAACAAATCGTGGAACTTTCTCTTTTCTGCAAAGGTTATTGTAGTACGGTTTGTTTGATACACCGTCTGTATTCGGATGTGTGTGAAGTACACAAAATGTGAAATACCAGTCATCGTACAGCCAAGTCTTATTCATATGGTTATAGGGGGTGGCGATGGCTGCATTCGATAGCGGAATCCAAAGGCACAGGCTAAAATGCTTTTCTATAGACATCTGCAGCTTTTTATTGCAAAGATATCGCTCACCGTGCGAAAACCTACTACCTCCGGTGGTATTGTCACTGTTCGTCCGCAATTGTTCATTCAGTGAAACATTGCGCATGGTATATTAACTAAGTGGCCTCCCTCCTATCGGCGACCCGGAGATACGTCCATTAGCGTCCAGGTCCGCGGGCGGTAGACCTGAAGTAATGACATCAAGGTTGCTAGCTTTCCTTAAGTAGTTTAGGTATAAGCATAAAGTAAATGTGTGTTCTGGTCAAAGCATTCTAACCATAACCTAAAGAGGTAACGGTTGAGGATAAACAAAGGCGTAATAACTTGGATCGATTATTGTCAATCATCCAACTGACTGAGACGCCAATGGAGTCGAACCAACAAACTGGGGAAAAAACGGGGCTCAATCCGACCTGTACCCTTCGACCTTCCGGTGCGCTTAGACTTCCCGATTGATAAAAGTCATTCTAAATAACTCGTTCGACCAAAGAGGTGCACAAGACATCTCTTCGTGATGGCTGTGAAGTCAGTGATTATGGTCTTATCACTATCCACAAACGTTAAGCTCAGAGTAAATTAACTCCTTTGTTATCATAGGTCAATTCACTGATAAATGTTACGTTCATCTCCATTTTCGACGACCGATCAATCATGAATTTCCATGATGCCGTTGGAACATGTTTCATGAACGTAATCCTTGTTGGTAGTGAATTTTCAATCGTTTTATTTTAAGGTGTTAAGGGAGTTCTAACATTTATTCTTCTACATATGAATTGATTCCACAAATCTATGGCATGATTAGAATAGCAACAATTCGTATTGCTTCTAAATTGCCCGGGATTTTCAGCGCATATGTTAGTTGCATACCAGCTATTGGGTTGTTCTTGCTTTGAAATTAAATAGTTATTACCTTGATCACTATTTCCTACCAAGGAAGAACCGTACCTTGTATCGGAGGTAAACCCTATAACCAAATACGACAAGCAGTTTGTGATTGACAAATGCTGAACAAATATTGACACAGAATGACTAGTAGCAGTCATCCAAATCGAAATCTCTTACAAAACCCTAGGTACAATACAGTAAGGTCATCTGGAGGCTGGATTATTCCTTCGCAAGATAACTGATTGAAATAAAGGAAACCTGGAACACCATAAGTAGCTTCCGAACCTTTCTTTTGAAACCAGGATGAGAAAATAACAATAGTGAGATTTATTGAGGGATCCCTGTTCCTAGAATTCTGCTTGTTGCAGAATATGGAGCTTGTGTAAACAAGACGAAGTGAATTCGATTCAGCTGCAATGAAGGCTCAGGTCATCAGACTCAAACATCGCACTAAAGCACAAAGGACATGATTATTTTGTTGGCAAGGTAGGATAACATTCACTGGTTGCTACGACCTCATCAAAATTTCGTTGTCTCGTAACCGGATGAACAATCGATCGACCGGGTGGGCTTTTAATAGCAGACGACTCACAACAGATGACCTTGGCGACTTGTGCATCTGTTTTTTTTAATTCTGCGAATTACATTCTTTGCGTTCATTTTGCGTAGAATCCAAATCGAGATAAGCTGTGCCGCTTGGTTGTGTAGTTATTTCTCGGTCCTACCGCACCTGCGCCGAAACAAATAGAGTACATTTTATTTGACGGTTGCTTGAACTCACTGAGGCCATAGTAATTAAATATTTCATCTCTCGTGTGAAGAAAAATAATCATGTCAGCTTAGTAGAAAAATGTCTAGAGGGTTCATTTAAGCTAAGTCGTTTCAGTTCATTCCAACCACGAATAATTATTCTGTGAGGCCTCCCTGACCCAAGGCTGTTTTACATCGCATCAGTCTGCGATGGGTAATGAAAGAAATGATTCCAAAGACTTATCATTCGGTTAGGAACTATGATCATTGTACAGCGAGAAACAATGACGCGAGCTTCGTTGATCTCTGCCAGGCTCAAAATAAGCATGAATTTTTCAAGTACTTGGAGAGTTGAATAGAAATCGAACCGCCATGGTTAACGCAGAACACGGCTTAACTACGAACGCACACTTCTTCAAACCACTGAACTCGATAAGAAATGGTAAGAACATCGTTCCTGTCGGTTCCCAGACATGTCTTTCGGTTTTTCTAATCAACTAGTTGCACGGTTTTAATGATACCTAACGTGTACAATGGAAAATACCAACTTTATCTAATCTTCTGGTGCCTTTTTCAAAGCCCAGCTATCACGCCATTTGTCGGTCTACACGTAATTTTATCCAACCTAGCCCGGCACAGAGGACACAGTGCAGTAAATGATAGTTGGGCACACGCAATACGTGTTCTAACCAGCGAGGTTCATCAATTTTGTGACGAGTTTCTTATCGGACCAGCAAGAAATACGAGAAAGCTCACCTTCGTTATCAAACCGGTTGTTCCATCCCACCTATACCAAACTACGTAAACACCGACTGTCGAAAACTTCTAGTTGATTGATATCTTCTACACGAAAACCCAAGCTTAAAGCAGAACTGATCGCGCTGTGGTGCAGTACACGTAAACTTTGAATTTCAAAGAGATGTCGCGATGGGATCAATAGTGTTCCAGTCCAGCGTGTCTATCATGCCTCGATAGGCAATCAATCACAATCGGAACCAGGAAGGTGTATGGTTCTTAGGGCGCTTTCCGATTTGTTTAGAACCGGGTTTTATCTAAGGTTCACCGATCCAATCACAGCCCCCGGTGTTAGATTATCCCCAAACGTTGGTTGGAAAACACCTCCGCCACGTGAAGGCAGTGAGTAACGATTCCGGAGCAGTCTATGAGAGGTACGGTAGTATAGGAGCGTTTCGCGGTGCCCAGTCAATCCAAAGCACCGACTGCTGAAAAATAGCCCTGCTGTCGCCCGCATCACTAACACGCCCAGCCTATTGAGGCCTTCTTTGGTTTACCACTCCGGGTTTCAGAGTTGGGCTGCCAGTCTCCTCTTACACCAAACCATCAAGTGTACACTATCTCCGAATTCAGAACAGTTTGTCCTCACTAACATTCGTGGCTTGGTTCGAAATGTTAATTACCTACTCTGTTTTCTCCGAACTTCTCCCTCCATGGCTTCATTCTTGACCGAAACACAAATATCTCTCTTGTGAGGCTATTCATCTTCCGTTCCTCGACTACCTTCTCATTTCCTTACAGCCGATTTCTGCGCCTATGTTCATTATTCTGTCGCTTCTACCTGGCTTTCATATCTCGATTTTTCCACCGTGAATCCCGGCTGAAACTTCGGCTTTCTTTTAGACACCATTTTTGTACCATCTACCGCCCCCTAGCAGTAACGATTCTTCTATATTTGATATCCCATCCGTTAACATTAATGGCGGCCGATCCCAACAGTTAAATTACCATTGTCAGAAAGTTTAATGTCCATAACAACAAATGGTGGATACACTCCTCAGACACTTCATGGGATGCGAAACCGAGGCTTTGCTATGTTCAATAACCTGAGCCAACTAGTTGGCCTCACACGCATTCCTGATCATATTGGTGACCGCGCCCACACTCTTGACCTAGTTATCACATCCATTCCCTATTCTTCCTTCAACGTCCTTTTCCTTTCCGCTCTGGGCGCATTGAATTATTGCTTCGTTTCTCTTGACCCGTTTCACAACCTAATTTCGGACGAACCTTTTGGTGTTACGACTCGACCAATTGGGACGGTTTTCCTGATTTTATGGCTTGCTACCTGCAGAATGATTCTTGTTTCAAGTCTGATGTTTCCACTTTATTCCAACTCCACTGAGATTGTTCTTCAAGGCATGTATCTATATTCCACACTTTTCCAAACCCGGTAAACCATGATCCCTTTAAAACATGGAAGTAAGTGGTTAGGTCCGAAGTTGGACGTCCATACCTGCATTCGCTTTACACATTCCAATTTGTTAACCACGACGTGATTTACACCATCCATACCAATGACTGCTGCTCATGGAAATCTGCCTGCAGACAACCAGAAAGCTGGTGGATTCTTTGCCGGATAGTCACGAATAAAGATTACCAAATATTAGGAGGCATGTAGACCCATTTAGAAAGAATGATATTTCTTTTCCGATAGTTCGTGACTATTATGCACAGTTTCGAATGATACAAGGGCTAATTCAGAAAAATTCACCTTGCATCATCTTTACTAACGGATGAGCAAATTGTTGGTGATTGAAGACCTACAATTACAACCCAGGGCGGCGGTGGTCGATCGCTCGAGGTTTCCCGGAAGACGCGTATTCGAATCTCACCGATGAGGCCTAACTTTTCCTAACATCTACGTCCGATGTTCGAGCCCCGTCACCGCCTACCAACTTTGGTAGTAGGTAACTGTTGTGGTCCAGCTTCGTACAACGCCTGACCTAGCGGAGTCTTATGTGGTTTGCCACTCCAGGTCCCGAGTCTTAGGTAATCGGTTTCCATCACTGAACAGCAGGTCTTCGTGGCTATGGGGTCCATCCTGTCCGTTGTTCATCACACAAGTGTGTAATAAAACACCTATGACAACCCTTTGATCAACCACCTCACCCGTACTGAAAATCGCTGATATATATTCAACATCAGGAAGTAAAAAGAAGAGAAGAATCTGAGGACATTATTTTTGATTTCGATACCCAGAAAGCCAACCGCAGCAACCTGAAACGATGGGGTTTCAGTTCAGTTTACGCAGCCAATAACTTCACATTTTCATAAACCGGCTGAGTAAATGGAAATAATAAGCTAAATGCAGTGCTAAGCTGAAGATACAGGAAATCAGATGTAAACAGAAATCAATTAGATACATAAGGACTGCTGTTACCGAGACTCAGTTATCAGTCAAAGGAAGGTTGCAATTTTCCCTCTGACAAACACTACAAGCAGTTCAAATATAGAGCGTGTGATTTCGTATAACGGCAAAAGCTAAAGTGTATTAAGAGCCCGATCTTCAAATGTACCTTTCGAGTTTTACTAGACTGATACGAATCGTGCTATTTGGCAGAGTAAAGAAAACTGTCTTGTTTACTATTGTACAAAGCTCAGTAACCTTTTAAGACTCAATGTCTTACCTTTAGGTGATTCGAGAGGTGTCGACTCTCGTAGAATAAGGGAATTGGGATGATTCTCAATTTTCTGTCGTATAACATCATCTAACGGGGGAGCCAGTGATTCATGAAAAGTCAGCGAGCGCCGGGCTAAATCGGTCGTATTCACAGATGACCCGGATAGATTCAGGTGATCACGGGAATTAGCGGCGTTGATCCATGGTTTAAGAGAACTCCTTAGGGCTGAATCGATATTCGAAGACACTAGTTTTGTGCTGGTACTTAGGGCAGCTGTCGCTGAATTATAGCCAACATTGTGGGTGGACTGAGCCGATACAGGCGACGCTGCTGATGCACAACCCGTATCGCCATTTGCGTGTGCCACTGGACACTTCTGTACATTTGTGGAAGTTTCTTTGTGATTGAAATCCTGAGTAACTTGCTTTGGAAGATGATAATTAACATTTGATACAACTGCAGCAGTGGAAGACATCACAAATAAACTCCAAACCGGGATGAAGTTGTTGGTTGGAAAAAATCCAGAATAAAATGGCTGAAATAAAAAGATGAAATACGAGTGAATATATTCTAAATAAGCTGGATACACTAATTTTCTAGAGGAGCAAAGTCCTCGTACAACCAAAATAACCACAGAGACCACCCCAACATTATGGTTATTATTACTAAAGCACTTTTATATATTCAGTTCATACACGTCTGAATCAAGTTTGTGTCAAACAAACCATAGTACAAAAATCTTAACTGAAAGAAAAAGCTTGATCCGCTAATGTGCGCGATATAGCCAGGTTGAAAAGGTCAGAGGTGAATTTTCTTGGGAAGTTCACAACTGAAGCCTTCGGCTAGTCAAAGCCTAACCCGCAAGGCAGCGGGGCGGTGTGTATATAGCACACCACAGACGGAAAACACGGAAGATATGGAACTACTTGCTACAATGTAACAATTCTTACCGACTCAAAGGATTTTCAGCTATTTATCATATGCATGCCTTTTATGTAGTGGGGTACGTATGCGTCCTCCAGTATTTCGTCCACGACGAAATGAAAAAGGAATGGCCAAATTCCTTTGAGAAGCAGCGACTGTTGGCTAATGATGTGTGACGCAATTCGAGGACTTGACGCAAAGTGAAGATTTGGTCGATGCAACCGCGATCTGGTCGGAATCCGGCTTGCTGTTCGCAGATATTAACCTCCCTTAAGGGTGTCAGGCAGCGAAGTATGATAGAAGCCAATAGTTTTGTGATCATTGGAACTAAGCTAATTCCGTGGTGGTTAGCGCAGTCGTTGCGTGATCCTTTCTTGAAGATCGGGACGATCAACGACTCACCCCAGGACAAAGGGATACGCTCCTACGATCAAATGCTGCGAAGTAAGCTAGTAATGGGGTCGACAAAAGAATCACCGCCCACCTTAAAAAGAATAGAGGTTCCGCAGCCTTCCCTTTCTTAAATAATTGGATCCAGCTTCGTACTTCTAATTCTGATGGGGGCTTACGTGTTACCACCCATGGGGTTTCCCCCGAAATCGCTGAAATGACCGCATTAGCATTGGGCCAATTGAACTATTCACTAGAATACTCTGCCCAGCGATCCAGTTGTTCTTTATTGTGGATGCTCTGTCTACTTCTATCGCAAATGGTCTCACCGACCGGTATTTGACGACCTCCGGTGCTGCTTGCCAGATGAGTCTGACTATTCCCTGATGCAGAAGCTATCACCATTTCACTAGCCATTTTGGATCACCGATTTTCTCAAGGCTTTTCCTGAGTTGACGTTGCAGGTGCCACCGGTCCCTATGCTGATCCTGACAGATTGAGATCTTTTGCTTTTGATCCATTAGGATTAGTGACTCCTGAAAGATCCAATGTCTTCGGTGAACTTCGGGCTCGGTACCACAAGTGAATTTTGCTGCTGAATGCATCTAGTCTGTTTCCACTGTTGGTCTCCACCATGTCGCGGTTCTCCCAGATCCTGTCCCAGTTTCTCCTCGTATGTGCGCAGACAGATAGATCTTGCGGACGATGATGAGCGAACTGAGGAGGCGATTTCTGCCGATAACCGAGGAATCGAAAAATGAAGCATAACAGAACTAGTGCATGATCCGACTCAACGCATGTAGCCTAAAAGGACCTGCAATTTTGTACTGAATCACACCGACGGTAGCTTACAGCTATGTGGTCGATTCGGGTCAACTTTCCCGATGAACTAGAACACCAGACAGCTGCCAGAGCTGTCCAAAGTTGGTGCTAGATAAGCACAACCGATGACCCCGGACAGAACTGAAGTAATCGATCACCGTTGTCTGTTCGCTGGGTGGGGAGAGCGAAAGCAGACTTCGGATGCGCTGTTTTCCAACCTGAGTTAAAACCATTTGCCAGTACTATATGAGAGCTACGGCTCAACCAAATCAGTTCGGCAAGTTTGTCGTACAATTCGTCCTTTCGTGAAGCGGGACTGCATTTTGTCGGTGCATATGCGGAAATAATGAACAAACACCTTTTGGTGGTCACCGCCTATAAGAAGTTTCTTGTCCCCTCGTCGTCCGATAGGATTTTGAAACGATTACGTAAGCATCGGCCATTGCTTTTCAGTTTGGTTACTTCAACCAAGATGATTATCACCTTATAGAAATGCTTTGGGAGACAAAAGTAGCATCCCCGTTTTCTCCAAAGTTCGGATACGGTTGCCTCTACAATGAGACGAGTAAAGTGAGCTGAAGATTTTCTATTCTGGGTCACTCATAAATCCTGTATATGTTCATACGGGATTTGAATGTGAAACATACAAACACCGTATCGACACTATCGTGATCAAGTGTCTGACTCTCCAACTGTTCTTTATAATTCACACACAGCATCACATGTGGAATAATGCACTCATAACCCGAGGTCGAAAGAAGGGGGAGGGTGGTGTTAGTGGTGATTCAACCCCCCTCCCAGTTCTGCAGCAGTCGCTTGACCTGCCCAAATGATCTATCTGCCTCCGAGTAATTAAAAAATAAATTAGTATACAGGTATTGACCAAACTCGTGCAACGAGTGTTTCGAGAACCGGTGCCAGAGAGCTCGTTAACAAATTCAAATCTACTGGAAGTGTACACGATCGGAAACAGGGGACATCCACGAACAACGAC